TTAAAAAGGGCACATAATAATAACAATAATAATAATAATAACATCCGTACTTAAAAACCTCAGGTTTAAACCTGGCTATTCTTCGGAACCAATTACTCCGAAATGAAATTTCGACGGGTCTTTTCAGCGGGATGTCTTTGCTTGACAAGGCCTCGAATAAAAATTTACGCTAAATAAAATAAATCTCCGCTATATTTATATTATTTAATATTTCTTCTATAATAAACAGTAAACAATTGAAGGAAGTATAATTTTCATCTCCGATTGCAAATAATATATTATATTTTATACATCCCACTTAATACTTAAAATATTTATCTCGACAGTCTGTGTTTACAAGATAAGCCGTTGATATACCTACAGATTATTATGCACGTTACATACAGACGTATATGTGTATGTTATATACGCGGCGAAGTGTGTGGATATGTATAAACCAGGGATCCTACGACCTACAACCTATACAATAGGCCATGATATTTATTCAAGTACTGTACTCTTCTCGTTAGATTTAACTATAAGTAATCGTATTAAATTTATACCGAATGAATATTCGATTTAATATAAATATACACTCGTGATTTTAATCTTTGCGTTCCCCATACCCAAATGTTATAAATGTTATAAATGGATTGTGTAATCTAATAAACTAATACGATATTTGTTTTAAATTTTTTTAATGCGATTAATTTGAGAAATTTTTTTTAATTTCTTTTCAAGATTTAATTTTACCAAAAATTTTATATGAAATTAATCAATTTAGAAAAAATTTTTTTCTCATTAAAAAAATTTATTTTCATAAAAAAATTGACATTTTTTAATTTATTTTTCTAATTAATTATTTTATTTTTAATAGACTAAAAAATTTTCAATTTTTTCAAAAAATTTAAATATCATTTTATTTCTAATTGATTATTTTTATTTTAGACCATAAATTTGGTTATTATTTTTTATTTAAGATAATTTTTGAAATAATGATTTAAGTACAAAAAAATTAATTAAATAAAAACTTTTAATTGACGCAATATTTAATTTTTAAGTTTTAAATTAATTTTAAAATATATGCTAATTTTTTAATAAGAATTAACTAAGCTACAATTTTTTCTGACTCATAGAAAAAATTAAAAATTAAATAATTAATAAAAATTACTTGTAACTTATAAAATTTGTTAAAATAATCATAAATTGCAAAAAGAAGTTTAAAATAGAAAATTGAAAGTAAAATTAAAAGTGGCCCGATAGCTGCGGGCATTAAAAAATTTCTTACCGAAAGATAATACATTAGCCGTCCCTTTTCTGCGTACATCGTACAATACAATAAAGTACCGTGTAATTAGATGTAAATTTATTTAAATAATTAGTTTAGGACAATAAAAAATCGAGTATGGATATGCGATAGATAATAAATAATAACTAATAACAGCGTGTTGTATATATCAATAAAAATGAAATGATGATGATCACAACAAAAATAATAATAATAATGATATGTAATGTATTATACTGACATAGCCACACACAAATTAACGAGATAATCTAGAACAAGACATTGACCTTTTTGTAGATACTTATCTTATATGCGTCTCCTCAGTCCTCAGCCGTACCGGGCCGATCGCATCATATCAGAGAACAAAGCAAGTCACGCTTATACAAACTCGATCCAAACTCGTACTATGTACATTTAACATACACGGTAGGCCATTTTACTTTTTAGATTGTGTTCTATGCCAGCATTAACAGCAATAATGATAATGGCGATAGCAATAGCAATAGCAATAATGGTAATGCCAGAAGTGATAAAATAAAGATTGCCGAGTTGAAAGTACAGGAGAGAAATTTTTCACACTGATGTGCAAATTTTGATCTTTTTTAGTAGATAAATTTTTTTTTCAATTTCTAAATGTAAAATATTTTTTAAGAATTTGAATTTTTAATTTTTTTTTGAATTTTTAGATGTAGAATTTTTTTTATAACAATTTAATTGTAAAAAAAATCTATTAGTTTGACTATCAGATAGAATATAAGTTTTTGCTTCAGTGGCTAAAAGCCGTTTTGTCTTTTGGCGAGTGTATGAAATAAAAATAATGACATAAGTGAATAAAAACGGAGGTAAGTAAATGAAAGGAGTCGAGAAATAGGTAAAAAGATGAGAGACACGAATTGCTTAGCACCCGCACATTTTAAGCTGATAAGAAACTGCACCGAGGACACGAACGTGCCATTCTCGCAGTGCATACCTATTCCTTGTTAGCTCGCATTAATATTACCGCGGTGATGATAAAATTCACTATTTTATGTTTAAACTTTTTGATTGTGACGTTTTTATATACTTGCCTTTCGGTGCATTATTTAAATTAACTTGTTTTATCAACGAATGTTTGCTTTTTATATTATTTCAAATATTATACACGCGAAATTATAGTTTTTCGACCTCCTGGAATATTTCCACCGGTTTTTATGCTTCGGAGTAATTACTGAAGTTTGTCACACTCTGTTAGGCGGAAGCAAAAAATTCGCAAATATTAGGTTTCTTTTTCTTTTTCAGTCTAGAAAATTGCTTCTAATATTTGACTCCAATTAGATAACTTTAGAGTTCGTAGAACGAATTTGAGTGTGAATAAAAATTTAATAATAAAAAAGCATACTCTAATTTTTCTAAAAGTTTTACGTGCATTTTTATAATTGTTCTTTTCGTTGTTTTTTTAAATTTATTTCACAGCTTTTTTTGTGTAATTTTTAAAAGTAAAATTATTTATTTTTTGAGTGAAAATTTTTTATATTAAAATAAGTTTGATAATTTTTTATTTTAAGACAATTTTTAAAAATTTCTTTCTAAATAAAACCAAAAAAATTGTCTAAATTTTTTTTTTAATAGAAATTTTTAAACGTCAAATTTTTTTATATTAATAATTTTAAAGCAAAAATGATAAATAAATTTTATGATGATTCTTAAAATATTATAAATAAATAATTTAGTGACAAAAAAAAATTCTACTCCAAAAAATTCCCCTGAAAAACTAATGACAGTAAAACAAACAATTTCTCATCTTACTTATCGCCCATAAGCGCCTGTAAAAATTTTCCAGCAGCTGAGAACTTTTACCCGAAAGACCATACCAAATACCAGTCGCGATAGCAATCAGCTCGACTAAGCCCCGCTTACATCCCGTGAGATCATTAACCCGACAAGAGATTCTAATCACGCAACATTGCACATCGTTTTAGCATAAACCCGAATCCCTGGCGCGTAACAACGCCCCCGTCAACATTTCCCTCTCATTTCCTGCTTCCACTGACCACCAATTCGCCCGAAACTTCAGTCCTGTCCGTCGCATTTTTAAAAACCATTTTCCCGACATAATATCCTCCTGCGCAATTAAACATTACGTGACATCCTACTAAATATAATACAATATAAAATAATATCAATCCTCAATCGGCCACCCTCGTCGGAATTCTACCTACAGAAGTAAAAATAATAAAAAACAATTCACGATCGATCAAACCTCCCCTTCGCTCGCCGAAAAACCTCTGCCCGAAGCAAGAAAAATAAAATAGGATAAAAAAAACCAGCACATATAATTCTCACATTAATTTTCAAAAAAAAAAAAACATTTTTTAAAATTATCATAATGAAATCAACAGACATTTGGATAGCTTTAGAATTTTTTTTAAATTAAATTAAATTTTTAATAAAAAAATAAGACTTACATTTTAGAAATTTTTATGAAAATTAATTTAGCATATATTTTAATAATTTTAAAAATTCTGACAAATAAATGATGGCAAAAAAAAATTTATTTGAAAATTTAAAAAAATAAAAAATACAATTTTTTAAAAATTATTTTTTGGGAGAAATTTTTTTGTTAAATAAAATTAAAAAATTTTCAAGTGACTGCTAATTTTAATGTCATCAATTTTTTTGTAATTTTATAACAATAAAAAAAATTTCACGTGAAAATTAAAAAAAAATTGACAGCTGTCAGCTAACTTAAGTATCATTAACAATATGAAAATTAAGTTAACAGGTATTTAATAACTTTGAGAATTTTTTTAACAAATAAATTATAGCAAAAAAAATTGACATGTAGAAATTTAAAAAAAAATAAACATGCAATTTTTTTAAAATAATTTTTCAAATCAAATTTGTTTGTTAAAAAAAATTAAAAAATGGTCAAGACTGCTAACTTTAATATGAAAATTAAGTTAGCCATTTAAAAATTTTTAGAATTTTTTTTTATTAAAAAATTATAACAAAAAAGTAAAAAAAAATTTCATTTGTAAAAAACTTAAAAAACAATGAGCGCAATTTTTTAAAAATATTTTTCTGTCATAATTTAATTATTAAAAAAAAGACAAAAAACTAGTATTGTAACTTTAATGTAATTTAAAAATATTTTTTTAATACCGATAAATTAAAAAAAAAAACTCCAAAAAACTATCAGCTGTCTGTTAATATTTCAGTACAATGATTAATTTACCTTCAAGTAGTATCCAAAGGTTCGCGTCAAACCAATAAAATTCTTCAGAATGTTGTCACGAATCACATAATGCACATTATCACACTTCACTAATAATCACTTCGTTCACGTAATAATAATAATTACTATTAAAAATCAAATAATAATAATAATAATAATAATAATAACCGATGTCAATCGCACCCGCCTTTAACAAAAACCAACGACAGTAAAAAGAAAACTGTCAAAACAAAGTATCAATCACTCACTTTAAAAAAAACCAACTTTTAAAAATTCCCGCCAAATTAAAAAATTTGAATTGTCTAGTTCTCAAAACTTCCACTAGGTCACTGTTGGCAAATAATTTTTTGTGAGTCAGCAAAGTAAAGGGTAAAAATTACAGCGAGCGAAAAGTAAATAAATAAGCTAAGCTCGCCGGGTGTTCTCGTAAATATATATTTAAGTGTACGGTTTAATATATTTATATTGTTTGGTAAGTATGAAGACGTCAAGTACTACATACTAGAGTGTAAAAAAAATTTAAGTGAGTTTTATATTATAAACAGTGTTGGTTGTTTTAGCTTGAGGTCCTGAGACAGCTCCTGGATGCGGCTGGCTGTCGTGGATAACAATGGCGGCGGCAGGATACCGGAAAACGTTAAGTGTTGCACTGGTACGAGGATTGAGACTGATAATAATAAAACGCGATGAAACCTGCGAGAACGAGGACACATTCGATTCTGAGGCAGTGTTTGATACTGAACTGGCACTGGCTGCTAACCAGAACGACCGACTACCGAGGAGCGAAGCTAACAGGGCGAGGGGTGCCGGTACTGTGCTCTGACCGCCGCTATGCTGCCTGCTGCCTACCGTTACCGCCAGAGTGGGGGAAGGAGTGGGGCTGAGCATGCGCGGGAAGGTTTGAATTTTTAAATTTTCATATTTTTTTTTTTATTTATTTTTACTAATTTTGTTAATTTTGAGACTGATTTTTTTTCAGGAAAAAATTTTTGGGAAAATTTGAAGGTGTATAGGAAGTTTTATTGGGAAGCGGAGAAACGCCAGGAGAAGGGCGTCGCTCGATCCCGGTGACTCTGGTGATATGACTGAGGAAACTCGGGCGTTTTCGGCGCACCTCGCCGCGGGTGTACGTATACATATGTGGACGAGGATGTTGGTGACTACCACGAGCAAGCTATGTCTGGAGAATCACTGGAGTGGGAACCAGGTACACATTATATTATGAATGGAGAGGGAACGACAAGCGACACGTGTGTTGAGAGTGTGTGAACAAGTTCAACTGCTGCCCTCTAGCGGGGGATAAGCAAAGTAAAGTGATTTACTTTTTTAAACAGAGATGGTACGTATTTGCTTTTGGAAAAATTTGTATTGTAAAAAATTTTTATTTGGGAAATTTTGTGAAATTTGTTTTTAAAAAAGAATTTTAAAAAATTTTAATGCAATTTTTATTTGTGAAATTTGTTTTTAAAAAAGAATTTTAATGCAATTTTTGGAATTTTTATTTGGGAAATTTATTTTTAAAAATTTTAATGGAATTTTTAGTTGGAAAATTTTGTGAAATTTATTTTTAAAAAATTTTAATGCAATTTTTGGATTTTTTTTTTATAGATCTATTAAGAGGAACACCACTGTGACGGTCGAAAAAAAGGTGATTTTCGGGAATTTTTTTGACAGGGAAAATAAGGGAATTAAGGATTGGATTTTTTAATTTTATTAAGGGTACATTGAAAATTATTACCCTAAATTTTTATTAAAAAATATTTACTTACTACAAAGTTATTAACAATCTTGTAGAGCACTAGAAAAAATTTCTCCTTCCATGGTCGCATCGATAACTCAGAAACGAATCATCTGAAAATAAAAATCCAAATTGCTTTTCAATCAGTAAGGATGTAGTTATCGTTGCACGTACGGAATTTTGAAAATTTTCTCATTATTTTCACTGTTTTATTTTTGTTTTAACCCGGCTAAAAAAATCTTTAAAATCAAAATTTTTAAAATTCCGTATGTGCAACGATAATTACAAAATTTCTCCTTCCATGGTCGCATCGATAACTCAGAAACGAATCATCTGAAAATAAAAATCCAAATTGCTTTTCAATCAGTAAGGATGTAGTTATCGTTGCACGTACGGAATTTTGAAAATTTTCTCATTATTTTCACTGTTTTATTTTTGTTTTAACCCGGCTAAAAAAATCTTTAAAATCAAAATTTTTAAAATTCCGTATGTGCAACGATAATTACATCCTTACTGATTAAAAAGCAATTTGGGTTTTTATTTTCAGATGATCCATTTTTGAGCTATCGATGCGATCATGGAGGAGGAAATTTTTTCTAGTGCTCTATGAGATTGTTAATAACTTTTGTAATAATTAAATATTTTTTAATAAAAATTTAGGGTAATAATCTTTAACGTACCCTTAATAAAATAAAAAAAATCCGATCCCCAAATTCGTTTATTTTCCCTGTCAAAAAAATTCCCGAAAATCACTTTTCTTTTCGACCGTCACAGTGTTCTCTTTTAAAAAAATCTCAAAAATAAAATTTCTAAAAATATAATTATTTAAATTTTTAAATGAAAAAATTAAAGAATTGACATTTAAAAAAATTTTTTTTAAATAATAAATTTTTAATAATCATTTTTGGTGTTTAAAAATTTTTTTTATAAAATCAAAAGTTTTAAAATTAATTAAAAAATTTTTATACGTATCAACGTAAAATACAATAAAAATTATAAATATTTTGCAAAATAAATTTTTCTTTTTAAATTGACCTACAACATAAAAAATTTCTAACAAAAATAAAAAATTTTTAGAATCGAGGTTTGAAAATGAAATTGAGAAGATCTCCAGGTCACCCTACAAGCTATAAGACCCGTTAATTTTTTATCCCGGTGACAGTTGAACCCTGTCATGTCTTGAGGTGCCGCCTCGACGGAAGAATCTGAGGGAGGCAAAAGGGTGTAAAATGGTTGAGTGTCACGCCCGACGGAGACGCATCGGGCGAGACGTCGTCGCCTTTAATGAGGCGCAGCCCGACTACTCGTTGCTTCTATTTACACTGCGAGTGTTCAGTACCCCTTCGCCCTTCACTCTTTTTCCTCCCCGCCATTTCTTGCTTTATTTTCATTTTTATTATTATTATGATAATAATAATTATTATTATTATTAAGCTGACGTCGATTATCGTGATGGATTTAAGATTCAACGTGATTGTGCGACCATTCGTACAGACCGCGGCTTAATGACCGTCCGCATGCTCCTGGTCTCTACTCTACTCGTCTTTTCTCTCCCCACGTCAAGGGTTAATCCCCATATTTTCTCTCGCTCTTTCTGCCGACATATATAAGTATAAGCTCGAAATATTTTTTATTTTTTCATTCATTTTTTCGCTTGGCCAAGCATTTCTTGGTGGTTTCGCTCGATCGGTTTTTTCCACTCGTTGCACCTTTGCAAATCACCTTCATTCGGATCACACGTGAGAAACCGTTTTTACAACCTCTACTCTGCCTTATCCTTTTATTATTTTTGGCTCATTAACATATTATACACACAATAAAACTATCCCAGTTCCAAAACTAACAATGCTCTTTAATAAAATTATTCTATTTATTAAATTCAACCTAGATTTTAATGTTTTATTTATCGTTACTAGAATTTAATAAGATCATTTACACTACACAGAAAAAAAGGTTCACTTGAGCCATGAAAATATTTTACTTCCTAATTATTTTCTTGAGCAAAAAAAAATTTTTTTTTGAACAAGAAATCTTACTTATTTCAATAAAATTAATTCTCTTGCTGTAAGAAATACGTATCTTGATCCAAGAAAATTTATTGACTTGAATCAATTAAGAGAAAAGTTCTTAAACCAAGAAAATAATTTTGAAGAACTTTATTGTCTTGGATTAAGACAAAAAATTCTTGAATCAAGTAAAATTGACTTAAACCAAGAAAAATTTCTTAGTTTAAGAATTTTTCTACTCAAAATCAAGAAGATAAAATTTTTCAAAATTATTTACTTGATTCAAGTAAATTTTTTTTTCTGTGTGATAGAAGTAAATTTTCTTGCTTTGAGAAAATTTCTCTTGCTCTAAAAAATTAAATGTCTAGATAGAAGTAAATTTTCATTGATTAACATGTTAAACGGGAAGATCAAATAATATTGAATCATTTTTTTTTCATTCAATATGTATAATTGCACGCTAAAATAATATAAAATGGATATCAAATATTCAAGCGAAAAATTTTCTCAAGGTGAGAAAATTTTTTTCTCAGCTGAAGTAGGTCGCGCTGCTTTCCTGAAGTATCTAAAAATCTTGATCAAATATAAAAATTTCTTTTATCAAGTATTTACGATAATTTGATAATTTGAATCAAGAAATTATTTTCTTGATTTGAAAAAAATTTTTTTTTTAATATAATATTCTTGGTTTATAATTTTTTCTCTTGAACAAAATTAACTTTTTTATCAATGCAAAAATGCTATGTTAAAATAAAATATTTTAATTTCTTTCTTAATGATAAAAAAATTTTTAACCCTACATAAAAATTACTAAGAAGAAATTTGATATGTTGGATAAAATCAAAAATTGACTACTTATGTAATAAGTTTGTTTTTTATTTTTTTTATTCACTGTATTATTAATTGTATAATTGAAATTTTACATTAAATTTTGTTATTTTTATATAAATTCTATAAATTCTATGTACAAGTGCTTTGCATCTCTATAAAATGTAGGCCGAAATTAAAATTAAAAAAAAAAACTCAGAGGTCTCCACTTAAATAACTAAAATAACTCATTAAAAATGTCATTGTAATTATTATTATAAACGAATGAAATATTTAGAAACGCCAGAAAAATTAATGACTACTAATTTTAATTTTTAAATCTATTTAAATTCCCATCCGCTAAAGCTAATATACTGAATGGGAATAATTTAAAATTGATGAGTGATAAAATGAGTGATAAGAGTAGATCATTTTATCCAAAAAAATCACTAAACTGAGACAGTCTGACACACTGGTAATGAAAAACGATTTTTAATTTCAGGAGATGAATTTTTGATCAACAGAAAGTCACCGCCAGACTTTAGAGAATGTAAATTAGGTCATATTACCGACTTAAAGTAAATATTGGCTTTTTTTTTTTTTTTTAATAATTAAGTGCTTTTGTCGTTTTGAAATCAGAGCATCTCACGTTGATAAATAATTCAAAGGTTAGTTTTTTCGACAAATGTATCTGAAAATAGAAGTAAATTATGTTTTATTTAATTGAAAGTGAGAATAAGAGTATTGTGTCAAAATAAATAAGATATAAATTTAAAAACTTAATTTTTAAGTACACAATAAAATTATATTGACATTAACGGGTTTAATTGTCAATTCCCGTAAAAATTCAAGAGTAATTGAGTTTTTATAATTAAATGGATTTGAAATTCAAATTAGAGAAGGTTAATAAGTAAGCAGTGATGTCAATTGAATAAATTTCAAAAGTTACCAGACAAACTTTAAAATACAAGCAAGAAATTTAGTGTAAAAATATAATGAAATTTTTTTTAACTCACCTAAATAATATGTATGCTTTTTCTGGTCCAACTTACCCCAAAAAGTATAAAAATTTTAAATTTTAATAATTAATTATGACATTAAAGTTAGCAATCACTTTAGAATTTTTTGGTTTTTTTTAACAAAAAAATTATTTTTAAAAAGTTGCATTTTTAATTTTTTAAAATTTCTACATGTCAAATTTTTTATATTTTTTTTTTAACATAATTTATTTGTTAAAAAAATGAGAATTAATTTAGCAGATATTTAATAATTTTTAGAATTTTTTTAACCAATAAATTATGGAAAAAAAAATTGACATGTAGAAATTAAAAAAAATTATAAATGCAATTTTTAAAAAAAAAATTTTTTTAAATTATTAAATATCTGGTAAATTTATCATCATTAATTAATTTAATTTAATAAAAAATATTGACATTTAAAATTCTCCCGCAGGTGCGCGCGCAGCTTTTCGACTACTGCGCATTCTAATTTTGGCGGTCTGCGCATCTCCATAATGGCGC